AAAAGAAAAAGAAAAAGAAAAACTAAAGTATATTGAAGTCATTCCGATAGAAACTGCAGATTCCATATAAAGTAGAAAGAGAAAGACACAACAACATCAATTATCAAAACTGCTTGTATACAAGTCTATCTTGGCATACAACAGTTTTACCCGCTACATAAAATAAGTCTTCCGCCTAAGACTCTTTGTCATAATCTGTTCCTATCCTGGCATTCCCCAAAGCGGCCTATCCATAATAGAGGCAGAGATTGCAGCAACATCTGAATAGCTCATTTTTTCACTCAGTCTGAACTCCGTTAAGATCACTGTCTCTGTGTTCCTTTTAAACTGTTAACATCTGTGTGTTAGCAGCGTCTCAGCTTGGCCAGTCTTTGCGCTCAGATAACAGGGTCATTAGCCCCCTTCTCATGGACCTCTGGAATACATCTCCACCTCTTTCAGACCGTTGAGGTGCCTCTTCTGGTTCAGGGAAAAGCAATGTGGCCCTTGTGTGCTTATGGACACCACTTCCACCATTTGGGGGGGTCTTTTTTCTCTTGGAGCCCCTCTCCTGATGCTTCACAGGAGGTTCCCATCTTTAACATCCCTAATAAATTTTGCTTTGTGCACTGCAACTGTCCACATGAAAATTCTTTTGTGTGCGGTAAAAACTGAGGCTGCCTTCATCTTTGTGTGGGAAATTCCCTGCAGCAGTACCATCCAGAAACTTAGCTACCTGGTGTGAAATGCAACTTAGATGTCTGCAGCCAGAGATGGTGGTAAGAGCCCAAGCCTGTCTGGAGTGCTGAGGAAAAGCCCCAATCACACAACCATGCATTTTTAAGTGTGCTGTAGTGTTTTATAATGGTGGTGTGCACCACAAACATGCTGGCTTTATATATACAAAAGAAGTGTTACGTAGTAATTAGTCTGCAAGGGAGACCCCAGCAGGCTTACTGAAACAGGAAACTTCTCAGTGGTCTGGTCAAAATACAGTCCCTTAGCACACTTGGTTAAATAATGAGCCCCAATTTAAGTACACAAAGAAAATCTAGGCTTCAGAAATTACAGTTAATGATGAATGAATGAATCTAAGTCAAATGTGTAAGCGTAATTGGGCTTGGGGAGAGTCATGTCTACCTTTGTCTTTTCAAATCCTACTAAGAGACCCAGCTGTATGCTTCTGCATGCACTCCTATGGATTCACTTCTCAGGGTAGTTTCAAAACTGGCTATAAGATCTCAAATCTCCATAAGTAAAATATGTATTTGTGTGTGTATGCACACGTATATATACATATATGTACTATATATGTACATAGCATTTTAAGTGTTTAAGTGATCATTTAAATAGTGTTATAGAGGAGAAATACCTCAAAAACTGGAAAGCAAACCACATAACTGACTGATACAATGGCCATCTTAAGTAGCACTCAATGGCCTCAAAAATCATTCCAATTTGACTGGAAAGCCAACAAGTGGTCATTTCAGGTATGGAAAGCCAAGGTGCTGGTGCAGAGTCCCTCCATGAAGGACCTCTGGGGTACAAGCCCGAGTGCAAGCCAGTGGCCAGCACGGAGGGCTGTGCTCCTCTCTGAAGGCAGCAGAGAACTCCCACTTCACACGTGCTCTTGACTGCCGCCTGATACGGTCTTTGGATTCAAGAGGCTTCTACAGTCTAGTCATTTCAAGTCAAGAGCCTCAGTGATCATGGACACACACATACGAGTGCTAATTTGTCAAATTAACATTCAGAGTCATTGTGTACTAACATCCTATGCAGCAACTTTGTCTTCAAAAAATGGTATTATTAGAAACAATGGTAAACTTGCATTGAAAGATTTACTCTATTTTAGTGTGGTAAAGAAACAATATTCTTAGCTCACTATTTTTAGTAATGCCTGAATACTTTCAAAGCAACTGCTTTGCTTGGAAGAGATTTGTTATCCGTAGGTGCTTTCCTAAAGTTAATTTCCTAAGTCAATTGTCAGAATGTTTTGACAAGTTTTTCAAACATGGAGTCTTCACTCTACCTCAGTATCCTGCCAGGACTGAAGCCAAATGAAGAATACAAGCTGATCCAGGATCTCAGGGCTATCAATGAGGCATTCACTTCAATCCACCCTCATGTGCTGAGCTCTGAGTGAGGAAAGAAGGTTCTACATTGTATATAGGGACACTACAGACAAGTAAGAGCTAAGGACATTCCTGGGGATGGCAGGATTTTTTAGCCAAGCCTTTATACAAAGCTTTAAAAAGTTCTAACATGGACCCTGCTGGACATGTGAGCTACAAAAAGCCTTCCAAAGAACTAAAGGACTGTTAACAGAAGCTCAGCCCTAGGAATCTACTATGCTCTAATCACTTGCTTCCTCAGCTCTGCTTAATGCTATCAATGTGTTTTAGACACTTCTGAAGCCGAGTAAGAACCTATGTGTGATCTTCAGACTCTGAAACTTTCAAAAGGCCTGGATTTTGTGCCATCTGGTTACTCGGGATCTTTTTATCCAACCAAGACTATCTTCGAGTGACTGATGCTATCATAAGAAAATCAGAGCAACACAAACTGTTGTGAGTGGAAAGAATGTTCCAGAAAACTCTTGGTGTTTCAAGAGAGCATGAGAACAAAAAAAAAAAAATCTTCCTTTACAAGGAACTACTGGATAATTTGCTCAATTAAGTCTTCATTCCTACAGATGTATGATTTTATGCCCATGGTGGTGCTCAGAAGTAGTAACATTACAAATGCATAATTCTGTCTGGCTTTTTGTAAGACTAACAAACAAGACTTCTGAAAAGACTGCTAATTCGCAAAAATCCCAGAGTACATAAGTAAGGACTGTGGACAATCTAGATGTTGTTCTCTCTTCAGGTAAATTAAATCACAAATTAATCAATGCCATTTTCCACTTTATTAGCCATTTCTAATAGATCACAATTGAAGAAAAACTAGTACTGGACAAAGAAATGTCAATTTCAATTTAATTTGTAGTTAACACTTATTACTCAAGAAATATGTATTTTAGAGGCTAAAAAAACCTGAAAAGATAATTTAAATAACTTGTCATGTCATATGCTAGTAATAAATATTATGATTCATTTTATTCTAAAAGAACAAACAGAAAAGTCAATGCTGCTTTACAACTTTGGTTTGGTGAATAGAAAATGAACAGAGAATATTATCAGAATAATAACCTGATCCATCACATTAAATTCTTATGACTTAAGTTTTAGAGAAACTACGTCAGATATTAAGTACTTACATAGTAATAGACAACCCAATCCTATTGGTTTTAACAGATTCTCATTGCCATGAATTAATACTTACCAGAAAAAAACGTGCAAGTAATGGCATTTTAATAATTAATAACTCACTGTACTTTTGATTTTTCCTACTAGAGATCTCAAGAAACAAACAGAAGAGACATTTCAAAGATCAGCCCTGCCATGGCTTCTGGGCAGGCCACACCTGCAGTGTACCAAAGCGCCAGTTTGGGAGTGGGTGGCTATGGACCTCACAAGTCCTAAGCAGACCTCTCCCCTGCTGCACCAAAATGTGGCTCTGGGAGAAGCAGGCCAGTGGCCTGATGCTAACACCCTGGGGGCAGGATGCAGCTGCAGCACCTCACTACACCTGGCCAGAGGCTTGAGGCTGAGGTCCTCAGCAAGGGGGTTGGTGGGCAAGGTACTGATGCTTTGCTGAGCCAGACACCCGACAGGTCCTAGGCAGGCTACATTCACCACACAACACTGCCCTGGTCTGGGAAAAGCAGAGTGAAGAACCAGTAGAGTCTAGGTGTCAAACCATACCAGGCCAGGGTCCTCAGGAGATCCACCCTGATGGCCTTTGGTATCACCAACAATCCTGGCTTTCGTGTCCTGTTCATCCCAGAAGGCACAGGATCTCTGGTCTTGGGGTCAAGATACTGTACTGTCCTGGCATCGGAGCACTTAGTGCATCTTGCGATGTCTCCTACGCTAACTCCTGTGCCCAGGAGAGGATCATGCCCATGTGTACATAAAGAATGAGTCACCCTGCTCCTGTGAGCCAGCTGAGGCCCTCGAATGCCACTTCAAACACAGATAAAGGCCAGGGACTTCTCAGAGTGGCGATGACATTGCAAGAGACACAGACATTGCCATCAGCTACACTCTCCACAGCTCAAGAAATGGATTAGATGAGACAGGAAGAGATTTTCAAAGCTGGGACATACAAGACCTACACCCCTCATCCGTAGGAAGTGGCTACAGATGAGGAGACAGAGGTCAGAAATCTCAGCAGGGCCTGAAATGGGACAGGCAGGCAGCAAGTCAACTTTAAGAATGGGAATCCACACCTGCCGCATTCTGCCTGCTTGTCGATCACATGACCCCTTCCCCAGGCTGTTCTCCCCCTCACCTGGGGCAGAGAAGCCAGGCACTGGGGAGGAACACCCTCTCTCAATAAACATACTTAGAAATAGAAACATCTCTCCCACCTGCCCCCCTCCCCCCCGGCCCCGCTCTGCCCGCTCCATCACAGAATGTGTTTCTGTGATAGTCTCACCTTTTAGATAAAGTTTAGTTTTAAAATGAGTCCTATTAATCTATTTGGATTGAATGCTCTATCACATTATTTGTGATGGTTGGTAATGTCAAGAACTATTGATTTAAAGAAAACAAGAAATAAGGAAGAAATGTCATCCTATGAAATTTATTTTCCACATCCAGCTCAACACTATCTAGTTAACGTATCTCCAATGTCTACAATTAGTCAAAAGAATTTTGTGATGGCATCTATAATTTACAACATTAACGTCTAACCACTCCTGTAGTTGATACGAAATATTGTATTATTTCCTCTTTTTATCTGAGACCAAGTCAATTATCTGTTTCCCTATTTTAAAATGGGGGTAAAATCGTGCTTGCTTCAGCAGCACATATAATAAAATGGGGTAAATTGGAACAATGAAAATTAATTACTAGTAAAATGCTTCTAATCTTGAGACAATGTTATGCAGAAGTGAAGTGTTGGGCTCATACCTTGTTTTAATTCCAAACCCTCGGGTGGCTTGTTTTCTCTCAGGGATGATGTGCAATCTACACAGTTGTCTTGCCTGTGGAATCAAAATACATTTTTAAAAATTGTGAAGTTATATTCAACCGTATAAGTTCACTGGCCACATTCCAGGAATTAGGCGAGGCTCCTGGAAAGACACACTGAACTCTGATAAACCCCCACTGGAAACTGAGAAACGTGCCCAAGTGCCAGGAGCAGCCTCGACAAGCACAACCCGAGCAAGCAGCGTATTTCTGTGTAAATCCAGGGCCGAACCTGGAGGTTTGGGACACGGAGGTAATTCCTCTCCCTCTGACACTCGGCAGGGTAGCTGCTGGGAGAAATCACAGCTCGCAGCAGTCTCCAATCACTTTTTCAAGTTCAGCTGCTCAACTTAATGGGCATTTTTGGCATTCAAATTGCTTTATATTCATCTAATTTCATACTTCAAATGCTTTGATGTCTGCAGCATGTGAAAAATACATATTTTATATCTAATACACATATATAATCAAAATAAACGGATTAAACGTAAGATCACGCAAAAGTTTCAATTTGCTATGTTCTGCAATAGTGCTACAAACAAAATTGATACTCTTTCTTAAAAATAGCATACCACCTTAGCACAAACACAAGAAACATTTTCCAGCAAAAAGGTTAAGAAATTGTCAGTGTACAAATGGTCATTCTCCCCAAAATGAGTGATTATTTTCTTCAAAATACGTACCTATTAGCATCATAATTTTCAGATTCCTTCAGACTAACATGCTATAAATACTTAGAAAACATTTAGTAACAAAATTACTTACACCTAATTAACAGGGATTCCTTAAGAAAGAAAACTTGTGGTTGATTCTTTGGCAGGTTTACAGTGTTCTTTCCAGTTGCTCTATATGGCTCTCTGCACTTGTGCTAGACTAAAATCTCACTAATGTAAGCCCAACTCAAACACTGTACAAAAATACTAAATGATGTGGTATTAACCATGACATCTGAGCTATCTCGGGTTTTTATACATTTTTCTTTCTTGTTTAATATCATCTTCTCAGACTACTTTCACAGAATGATCGGCACATCCCAAGGACAGTTACAATTCTCACTGGAAGTCACTGGACAGGATAAAATACACACCAACACACCGCACTAAGAGCTTTGCAAGGAGTAAAGGTGAGATGTGCTCCCAAAGGCCTTCCACCCAGATTAGACTCTGCCAGCTGGGATTCTTCATCTGTTTCTAAAGTATCTACCTTTACAGAAAATGTTTGCTGCTTTACATCTTAAATGGCACTAAATTGTTCTAAATACATACAACTATATTTACCAAAATTGACTCCAAAACAAAACTGACTAAAAACACATGTAATATCACCAATAAAACACAGGCAAATATAACACTCCGAGTGGTTCACATCATCTATGCATCCCAACTATACAACCAGTATTATGACAATCATGACATAAAGCCAAACTGAAGTGAATAACATTCTATCTCAAGAATGAAGCCCCATGACAACGCTAGAAAAGACAAAAGTCTATGGAAATACTCTAGGCTCAACATAACTCTGAAGAGTTACAACTAAATATTGTAACTAACCCACGGGCTGAGCTGAAGGGCAAAGCATTCTAAACGACATAACTGAGTCAAAAGTTTGTGTAAAAGGATTGCATCGATATTAAATTCCCCGAGGCTGATACCAGTACAAGCATAACAGATCATCATTTGGAAAAACAAAACAAAACATGACATTTAGAGATAAGTGTCATAATGCATAGAACTTAACTACAAAGTCTCATAAACATATCCCACACACACACATACACATAGGGGACTTGACAAAGCCCAGCGGAAATCAGAATTAATTAAAAGGCAAGATGTTTATTTTGGTGCAAAAAAAAATCATCTCAAATGTATACATTTTTTCCTATTACAAATTTTCAAGGAACTTTTTGAAAACCTGTGTACAAAGATTTCAAAGACTTCTGCACCAAAGTAGATCTTTTATTTCCATATGTCCATGAACTTTCTGAAGTTCTGTCATCTGTAACAGGAAGGTGTGCAACACAGATGATAACTTAATATGCGGTCTAGAAAAAGGATTCATGGATATTTCTTATAACAGCTTTCCAACATCTGAATCTAGAATTATTTACAAATAATTGTTTTAACTAATATTAACACAACAAAAAGGGGTCAAAAAACCTGAAATTTCCACTATAAAAAAAAAAAAATTCTGCTGCCAGAAACAACAGAGTACCCAGATTTTTGTAACATTCCACTTCCTCCTAGGCAGGGTTTCAGCAGCCTGTTGAAGAGTCACTGAACACTTCACCTAGCAGGTAGAGTGCGCCACCCTGTGGCAGAAGAGTGAAAAAATCGCAAGAGGTGAAAAAATCCTCAGCAGGTTTTCAGTAGCTTGAAAATCAGTACTAGCAAAATGTTTTAAGATGTAGGAAATACAAATAAAATTATCACATACGTTCACATTTTTGATGATGTAAAGATCTCCATTAAACGGCATCAAAGTCATTTGCAAAGAAAGGTTCTAAAAAAATTATATACTTGCATATGTTTAGCTCTAGGTTAATGAAAATAAAAATATCTACTCTCAGAGATAGAACTAGGTAACAGAGACGGGAAAAATTTTTAAAGCCCAATTCATATGTAAATACTGCTACACAAAGAGTAAGAATTATGTTAGAATCTTATTAACAACAGGAGAAAAAGGAGAGAAAAGGGACAGAAAGCACCAGCAGAGCCAGTTTAGTTGAAGATTTCAGAAATGAAGACCTGGCATGATAGCCTAGTGGCTAAATCCTTCACCGGGAATCCTATGGGATACGTCCCAGATACTCCACTTCCCATCCAGCTCCCCGCTGTGGCCTGGGAAAGCAGTAAGGACGGCCCAAAGTCTTGGGACCTGCACTCACGTGGGAGACCCAGAAAAAGCTCCTGACTCCTGGCTTCGGATCGGCACAACTCTGGCCAATGCAGCCACTTGGGGAGTGAATCAGTGGATGGAATATCTTCCTGTCTCTCCTCCTCTCTGTATATCTGACTTTCCAAAAAAAATACATAAATCTTTCCTTTTTTTTAATTCTGAAATGATCTTTGTTGTCCTTTTCATTTGAAACAAAATAAAAGGCCTGTTTTTACTAACTGCCTTCTCCCATCTACAGTTTGGCTGCTTTAAACAAGCTTTAACTCACATGAATGGCTTTGAATTATACAAAAGCCCACAACTAAGTCTGTGATTTATAGCCTCAAACATCAATCTAACTTTCTTTAACAAAAAAAAAATACATTTTCTCAGCCTCTATGCTTTCTTAGATCCTGATGATTATTTTAAAGATTTGTTTTATTTTTATTTGACTGCTACATGTGGTTGGAAGACTACACTGCTCTAATAATATAAGGGAGAAGGGTGGGAGGGAAGGGCAGGAATCCTTACACCTACAAACCTTATCCTGAGAAATAATACAAATTGTAAAAAGGAAGTAAAAAAGAACAACAATTTCAGAGAGAAGGAAAAACACAAAGAGATCATACATCTGCTGATTCACTCCCAAAACAGCAGCAGACAAAATGGATCAATCCGAAGCCAGGAGCTTCCCCTGGGTCTCACATGTGGGTGCAGGAGCCCAAGTACTTGAGCCACCCTCTGCTGCTCTCCCAGGCCATGAAGAGCAAACTGGGTCGGAAGGGGAGCAGCCAGGATACAAGCCGGAATCCACATGAAATGCTGGTGTATCAGGTGGAGGCTTGGCCTACTAAAACACGGCACTGTCAGCCTAGACCCTGGTGATTGCTTCTTATTATTTTTCTTAAGACTTATTTCTTTTTATTGCAAAATAAGATGTACAGAGAGGAGGAGAGACAGAGAGGACGATCTTTAGTCTGATGATTCACTCCCCAAGTGAGCGCAATGGCCGGTGCTGTGCCAATCCGAAGCCAGGATCCAGGAACTTCTTCCCCTGGGTCTCCCACGCGGGTGCAGGGTCCCAAGGCTTTGGGCCGTCCTCGACTGCTTTCCCAGGCCAAAAGCAGGGAGCTGAATGGGAAGTGGGGCTACTGGGATTAGAACCGGCAACCATATGGGATCCCGGGCATTCAAGGTGAGAACTTTAGCCGCTAGGCCACCGCGCCAGGCCCAATTGCTTATTATTAAGGTAATAAGCTGGGGGGATCTGTGGGACTTAAGAACTAAACATGTGCTCTACCAAAGATTTTTAAAACCTTAATTTAATTATTAACTTATTAAGGCTGGGAGATGGGGAGTGTCAATTTCTCATTCAAATGAAGATGCCCCAACAAAGAGATAAATAAGCTGAGTCTGAAGTCTGATTCTTCTCATTTTGGCAAGGGGCACCTGAAAAAAGACCTGCGTAAACAGGCATAACAAAGGTGTAATCCTTGATTCTCTTCATATTTCCGGGAATAACGATAGAAGCACAGCAACCTATCTTCCTATGAACACTTTCCTGTTAAAAAGAGAGCAAGGTGGGCATGTGGCATAGTGTTGAAGATGTTGACTGGGATAACAACCATGTTACTCCTCACACTGTCTGGAATTGGCTTCTAATTCCAGCTTCCTATTAGTGCAGACCCTGGGACAGATTACATGACAATGTTCACTGCTGAGTTGCTGCAACCACATGAACACCTGGGCTGGGTTACCAGCTGACCCGTCCAGACTGTAAATGTGAGCATTTGGGGAGTAAACTGGTGGTGTGATACCTTCCAGTGCCCAACAACATCCACAAAATTCAAGTAAAACAGGCCCAGCGGCGTGGCCTAGCGGCTAAGGTCCTTGCCTTGAACACCCCGGGATCCCATATGGGCACCAGTTCTAATCCCAGCAGCTCCACTTCCCATTCAGCTCCCTGCTTGTGGCCTGGGAAAGCAGTTGAGGACGGCCCAAAGCCTTGGGATCCTCACCTGTGTGGGAGACCCAGAAGAAGTTCCTGGATTCTGGCTTCAGACCGGCACAGCACCGGCTGTTGCGCTCACTTGGGGAGTGAGTCATCGGACGGAAGATCTTCCTCTCAGTCTCTTCTCCT